CGTACCAAAGCCTCAGCCCCAAGTCTAAGACCCAAGATTTCAACTTTGAGTCAGTAAGTACTCTCATGAAGTAAGATTTGAGTAGTAAGTCTTTTAAAAAAGTCTTAAGTTAGACCCAGGCATACCTCTGTTGGAATTATCTCTAATGTCTCTCATAGCACAGAAGTGAAATTGATGATACTCTGCAGGGCCTTGGTGTGCTTCTAAGGTACCTTTTGTCAGGAATCAGAATTTAGCTTAAGATAAATATACCTCAACAAATTAAGAGTCAAACAAATTTAGAGACGGCAATTTGGCCACAGGTGGAAAAACATCCAAGGCTGGTATCTAATAGGTTCCCACGAGGCCATAAGTAACCTCTAATTAAAGTTTTGCTGCAGACGTCAAGAAGACAACTATCAAAGAAATGTATGGGTCCTAAGGTTTAACATGAAGGACCAATCAGCCACATGTGCATATGGAGGATCTCTTTTAACATGTGATTAAAGCTCCTTTAGTCAAACTGTACAATATAGTTCTATAGAAATTTTGCTACTAGGGACACCTGGGTGGCTCAGTGGTTGAGCGTCTGCCTTTGGCTCAGGGCGTGATCCCAGTCCGGGGATTGAGTCCCATGTCAGGCTGCTTCTCTCTCTGCCTATGTCTCTGCCTCTCTCTCTCTCTGTGTCTCTCATGAATAAATAAAATCTTTTAAAAAAAATTTGCTACTAAATTCTTAGACAATTTGTCCAATTCTTAAAGCTTAATACAAATGAACTATTCACTAAAGTTTGCTGTGCTCTAATTAGACCTAAATATCAAAGGAAAAAAAAATTAGGTAATCTCTCCATGAAGGAGAGAAAATAAACTACTAAGAATTAGGGGTGTTAACTTTTTTTTTTTAATTTTTATTTATTTATGATAGTCACACAGAGAGAGAGAGAGGCAGAGACACAGGCAGAGGGAGAAGCAGGCTCCATGCACTGAGAGCCCAACGTGGGATTCGATCCCGGGTCTCCAGGATCGCGCCCTGGGCCAAAGGCAGGCGCCAAACCGTTGCGCCACCCAGGGATCCCTAGGGGTGTTAACTTTATGTATAAATCATACCTACTTAAATTATTTGAATCACCACCTGGGTATAAAAAGCTAATGCTTTGCAATTGTGTAACTGACACAAGGGGAATGGCTATGGTACCACTACAACTCTCCCCTCCACCACCACCATTTCTGCCCTGTCCAGACCACTACTCTACATCTCTCCCTACCACCTCCCCACCCCCATCACCCCCTGCTCCAGCAGGCAACCTTTTATCTCATCTGTGTATTAGAGTTCCAAGTAAGATTCTGGTTGGAAAAAAGCATTCTGGTAAAAAATAAAATAAAATAAATTTGAAAAAAGCTACACTAAACAATTAAAAGTTTCTTCTCAAAAACAACTAAAAAATTTATCAAAGACATTGTACACTTACTCTTAAAATTATTAAAATTTAACTAATTTTTCATACCCAAAAGTATCCATTAAGTATATATAAAACTTCAGTAATGACTGCTAACTAATCAAAATGATTCAACTAAAGAATACTTGAGACATTTATAACAAAATTAATGAGTAAAATTTGTTCTAAAGAAATTCCTACATAGATTGAAAATAATTATGTTATGATTACAGAATTATTAATAAGCCCCAAAACTACTGCCAGAGACACGATTATAGCTGTAATTAATACAAAGAACACTTTAAAACAGCTTTGGATACTAAGAAAATTACATTTAAAAAAAAATCCTCTCTTCATTGTCAGGAAAGCAGGTGACAGCAGTGTTGTAAATGCACATAGTCAGCTGAGCGATAGTTTTAGCTTGACAGTGTTCAAAAAAAAAAAAAAGGAAGCAAGCAAGCAAAAAAAGAAAACACTGGGGGTGTGGGGACACCCCCACAATAGACACAAGATTAAGGAATAAGGAATTTTGTTTTACCACTCTTAAGGACAGAGTGAATACAGAAGAAAAGGGCTCTCTCAGATATGGTAACGGATCAGCCTCTGCTCTAGAGAAATAATAGACTAGAAATCCATGTTAGTTTTGTCCAAACTGCATCACAGATTTTCATGATCCTCTCTAGATTTCTTGAACAGTAGCTTTTATCGGCTGGACTTACATCTATTCTTAGCTTTTATCTTGGTGTCTCCACTGTGGACATTCTTTAATGTCTATTTACTCTGTAGATTCATAGTAGATTTTAGCATGACAGCAAAAAGGGTGCATGTAAAACAGTGAAACAGCGATCCCAAACCAAAGGGAGAGTGCAAACCTGCTGGCATGTACTCATAGTGAACTACTAAGAGAATATGAGATAGTTTGGCCTCACTAAATCCTTCCTTTTATGCTTGCATTTATTTATAGAATATTAAGTGCCGGCAAAATCCTGGGCAGAGGCAAGCCTGGCCAGCACCAGTTTCCTTGTTTAGAAAAATGCCATAACTTTCTTAGTCAGATGTCATTCCCACAGAGGAATGTCTACTGTTAAGAAAATCCAAACTCATAAAATAGATTGAGTGATCACAAAAGGATTTATAGAGGACTTCCCTTAAACAGAAACCTTGTTTTTAAAATGACATTTGACTTAAATTTCTTTTCCTAGAGTACATCTAACGTATAATGTGAAATAGAATATTGATTCATAAAAATGAGTTGTTTAAAAGATTGTGCACAAGTAATCCTAACCTTTATTAAGGTTACTCTATACAAATCTCAAATTTTAGACAATGAATAACAGCAGTATCTGGCCAGTATCAAGAAGGTACAATTTCATATATGTAGGGTAACAATAAAATTCTAATATGGAGAGACTGTAAAATTTTAAATTTTTTACTGTTTAGAATGGTTAGCAACTTTACTTAGAAATCGTTTAGATACTCTGAAGTCAACAGTTCTGAGAAGACTTAACAGAAACTATAAATAATGGAAGATCAAAGACCACCTAATTCATGAGTAAAACTTTTTCAAAAATTCATTTAAGAACCCATATTTAACCATCCCTTCCCTCAAAAACAACCATGACTCTATAGCAGGTTGGCCAGAAATCGGCCCACTGCCATCAGCCACAACCCTCCACCTCATGCTTTTAGAGTAGGCTTATGTAGTCTAGAGCATCCTTCTCACAAGCGCCCTCTTCCCAGCACCAGAATCATAGGGGCCACCAAGAGCAGAGCATCTACACATTACAGTGCTGACCAGCCGTTGGGCAGTGAAGCAAAGGAACTGAGAACGGTGTCATAAAGCCTGGGTTTTAGTTTCAACTGAATGGCATTTCTGCACCTGCTTCACACTTGTAAAAAAGAGATTACTCAGTAGTAGCAATGAGAGTGGCAGAAAGTGATCCTGGTTGGGGTGCCTGAGTGGTTCAGTTAGGTGTCTGACTCTGGATTTTGACTCAGGTCACAATTTCAGGGTCCTGGGATCAAGCCCGACATCAAGTTCCTCACTCAGTGGGGAATCTGCTTGAGATTCTCTCCCTCTCCCTCTGCCCCTACCCTCATGTGCACACACACACTCTCTCTCTCAAATAAATAAATAAATCTTAAAAAAAAGAAAAAGTGATACTGGTTCTAATTCCTCAGTGCTCTAGGAACTAAATGACAACAATTCTTGGCAAAACCGGAATCAAAAGGTTCACATGCAAAAATTCTACTCTGTCAGTTCCTTAATGCACATGCAACACCACCCAATGATGGGTTTAATATCTGAGGTTTATTTCACAAGAAATATCGATTAGTCAGCTAATGGTCTCTATGTACATACAGTAGTCTACAGAAATGATCTGTGAAGGAGGAATCTGTCTAAACAGGCAGGATACAATATACTTGGGCTTCAACCAGGGAGGCTCTTGAGCCTTGAGCCCTAACTCAGTGTTCAATTTTCATGCTCCTGGGGTTCACATTCCCTGATGTGAGTATGTAAGTTACTCATTCATTCAAGACTCTACTAAGTATTCACATCACCTATCGACCGATGACGTCCAAACATGAATCTCCAGTTCAGATTCTCCTCATTTTACCAACTGTCTCTCTGCTCCCACCCACTTAGATCACCCATGCTCCAAAATGAACTTTGGACAGGCCACATTCTAAATCTTCTCCCCCTACTACTCCCCCAGCCGTCCCACCTTTGTATTCACACCACTGCTGCAGGTAAATCCCCAAACGGCTCTTTTCCTCCTCACATCCCAAGTCCTCTCCATCACTTTACAAAGCATCAGAGGCAAATACTGTCCATCCTCCTTCTACAGTAGACCCCCAATCCATCCACTCTTCTTCATCTTCAGCAGCACCATTCTTGTCCAAGCCACCGGCCTCTCGTGCCTACAAGAATCTCTTTACTCTTCTCTAACTTACTCTTGCTGCTCCACAGCCCATTCTCCACACAAGAACCATCATTTTAAATAGCACTTCGATCATATCACTCTCTTAACTTAAATTCTTGAATGACTCTCAACTACATGGTAACTCAAACCTAATTCCTTATTCTGCCCCTTCAGGCCCTTCACAGTTTGGGCCCTGGCTGCCTGCCTCTCCAACCCTATCCTGAGCCACTCTCCTCCTCCATTAATTCCATTCCAGCCAAGCTGACATTATCACAGTTACTCAAATGTCCCATTATGGCTCATTGCCCCGAGGACCTTTACCCAGGTCACTGCCTCTACAAGAGCATTCTGCATAGAGATGGTTCCTTCCCATCCTTCAGGTCTCACTGAAATGGTATCTCCCAGAAAAGGCCCCCCCTTGACCGCCTAAAGTGGGGCCTCCATTTTAATTTCTTCACAACATCCTGTTCATTTCCTTCTTAACATGATTTTTTAAATGATTTCTAACTATATATTTACTTCTTTACCTAGCATCTTGTTAAGCATACAGTAGGCATTTTAACTTTTTCACTGAATTAATTAATGAGGAGAATACCTTAGGCAAGGCTAATTACAAACATTTCTAATGGCTAATATAAGATGCAATAAAAAAAGATCTTACCTTATCGATTTTTTTCTTCTTAACAGGGGGGTCAAACCTATCATTGATTCCAAAATACTGAGTAAGCTCCTTCCACTGGGTTTCACTTGGGGTCTGCTCACTGCAAGATAGACAATAACTTATTTTTAGTGTCTTTAATTGGTTTCTACAATTACAAATCACAAAAACTAGTTCTTAGGTTGCAGACATAAGTAGTTCAAATACTGATACAAGTTTTACAGGATTGTCTAGAAGAAACAAATATTTTAAATTCCACCTACCTATGAGACTCTTCCTCATTCTTCAATTTACCTGAAAGGAATTCACAAAGTGTCAATACCTGAGTGTTTGTCTGTTATTTCAAAATTCATGCTTATTAAAATTAGTCACAAATTAACATTAGCACTATTGACAATTAACTTGAATTAAAACAAAACACCTTTCCTGGAGCGTTTTCTTTTTTTCCTTCTGAATCCTGAAGTTGAGGTTTTCTGTTCAGAATGTTTTTTATGCAATTCTTGAAATTTCTATATAAATGTAAAAAAAAAAAGTAGTAAGTAAATTTTGAAGCAAAGCATATGTTCAAAAAATTACAAACTAATAAAAATATACTCCAGCATTTATAAAAATACAAATTTAACAAAAGTAGTTTTCTTCTGGAGATACTCTATTCTCTAAGACTCTCCCCCAACCTGAGTTTTTATCTTTATTTATCTCGATATAAGTCAATCTGATTATCTGAGAGTAAAATTCAATGACTCATACAGATAACAAAGAGATCAAATTAATATAGGAACTTGTGTATCATGTTGGGCAAAGTAGCTAATCCTACTAAATGTTTTTCTTCCTTTTTATAAAAAACACAAAAATGAAAGCTAGCGTCTGAGTGCCCAATGGGTTGACCACACACCCAGAGTATTCTGAGTCAATATTCCCTACCTATTACCTCCCAAGAACACAGGCATTCTGACCATGGCAGAGAAACACACTGGAGCATGCACAGACACACATGCACAGGCTTTAATAAGACACACAAGAGAAAACCTACATGCCACATATTTAAGGGAATTCCAGAAGGGCACTCTTCATATGCATTGACATTTGCCTCTCCTTCAGGTTTTGGTCCATCTGTTGGGAAATCTGAGACCTCTGTTTTTGTAATGGCCCCATCTTCTTTATCTTCCTGTAGGTTAAGTCCAGAGTTCTCTAATGGGGTTTCATCTTCAGAATTCAATTCAATATCACTTTCATTTAGGCCAGGAGGTAGCAGCCCACTCCACATCCTTTCTTCTAAAAGGAAAAAAGATGAATTTAGACCTACAAAATGCACATGGAAAGAAATTTAAAACCCCAGGAGTCTAGCAATTATCCCAATAGTACGGGAAGAGCCCGTGTAGACTTTTTTCTTTTAAGCTAAAATGAGATTTACCTTCCATATTAAAAGAATTAACATCTTTGTTGTATACATTTTTTTTTAAGAGTACAAAGTAGTTTAAGCAAGTCTGCTACAAGAGGCACCTACAGATGAATGACTTAAAGAAAATAGGACCTGGATTCTCTAATAAATGGATAATTTTGTTTAAAAATAAATAAATTCAGTAAAAGCAGTCATTGTTCAAGAATGTTAAGGGCCTAACAATATAAACTTCACACAATTTAAGATTTATAATATTGTATTTCAAGCTATCACAATCAAAAAAGAAAATAAATGAAGTCATGTTTCACTGGTATTGAATTGAACTTTCAGGGGACCTATTGTCAAAGGAGTAGAAAAACAATTATTCAATGGAAAATGTTTAGGCTGTGCAAGTGGTTTGAGGAAAGCATGGTGGTAAAAAGAATGTCCTAGTTTAAAATTTTACACTGTTGGCTAAAATAATGGAGTATTAAATGTTAATCTTGACAATTTAACAAAAAAAATACAGCCTTTTGAGTAACAATACTGCATTCAGGAAGCTAAGGTTGAAGTTCAGGATAATATTTATCATTAGCTATACGGAGCATTGGTAGAGAGAATATTAACTATTGTTAAGTTTATCAAAAAATGATTTTTAAAAACTGGAGTTACAATCATTTGCTAAAATGATAATAACTGAGTATACTTTCACTAGTAATCTCCTAGTATACATATTGAGGCAAAACCACTTCATTCAAAAGATGCCTAAAAAGAGAAGTTGATTGTACTGCTCATGATGTACTACCCAACCTGAAGGAATAAAATACAAGGATGGACATCTTTTTTGCTGAGTTTTCTGCCTCCTATTGTGATTAACCTAATGAGGAAACTACCACCATTGTCTCTGAGACAAAGGCATCACAGGATTTTGCATTAATCTGAATAATGGATTCCTGATAACCTTTAAGGAAGGCTCCAGGTCCACATAATCAGATCTTACTTCTGGTGGTTTGGGTCCAGCCTCCTCAGTTGTTAGAAGGCTGAGTTGTTTCCGCCTTCTGAAACAACCTCAACAAAATACTCTTTGGCTTTTTGAGAAGGGCTCTGACATCTAACTGCTCCTGTAATCCTGACCCCACCATATATTAGCACTATGAGGAAATCATTTTTACCACCTCTGACCCTCAGTGTTTCCCACTGTAATACAAGGATAATTATATTGCATACAGGGTTATTCTGAGAATTAAACAAGATAAGCCATGAAAATGCCACAATAAATGGAGGTTCTAGGGACTTGATCAATGCTGAGCTTTTTTGCTATTAGTATTTCTGTGGCAATGTATTATATTTTTATAATTTCTATTATGGGTGGCAGCATTCAAAACAAGGTAGTTTTGAAGTCTCTAAAGTTGAGGTGCATTCACTTAGCAATTGATGCCAATCATTTACTTCTCTGATGTCCACAGTTTAACACAAGTTTATATAAAAAACATTGGTGTCTGGTTTTCTAAATGGAACAATAAACCCAGAAGCAGAAAGATAATGGAGTCTAAGTGTCAAGGCTCCTCTTTTGCACAGGTCTTTCCAAAGCATTATACCTAATTTTATATTTAGAATTTTCATTCCTTTTCTTAAAGAAGAGACCTAAAATTATATAAGCTGCAAGCCCCATAAAACGTGGATCCATCCCTAAGCCTGGCCTGAGGATTTTAATAGTTGGAATGGATAATCTTTAGATACTCTGTTAGCACAAAAGATATCATGTGAAATATGCCAATACTGAAAAACGGATACTATGCCATCAATAAAAATATTTCTACTGTTCTGAGGAGTAGATAGAGTGGGAATGATTATAAGCTCCAACATGACTTTGCCACTGGCATATAATATACCTTTAGGCTCATTTTCTATTTCAGAACTTAAGAACACCAACAAATTTCAGATTCAGCTTCCTTAACAAAGTGGGGGTTCTGTTTTAAACCATGTTGTTTTTTCCCTGTCCATAGCATCTTGCGCATGGCCACTGTGTGCCAGGCACTCTTTTAAGACATGGGGACAGGCAAAAATATCTAACTTCATAAAGCCAACATTCTACACACATGGCAAGCGTCTCTGTCCATCAGCAGCCAAATAGCTCTCCACCCAGACTTCAATTGTGACTGCTAATGAAAGGCATGCGCCTCTGATGGGCACAGTTCTCCTGCTAGAGCACTGCTTCAATACCCCTATAGAGTGTGTCTATGCTCTGGCCACCCAAATGTGCTTCACCCTGGGGCGCACTCTCGGTTGCCCTGGAGTTGCCTTTCCCCATCACCTCTCAAGCAGCTTTTTATTTTTTTACTATTTTTTTCAAGCATCTTTTTAATCACATTTTAGACCTTCCCCAAATCATCTATTTTTAGCTCTTGTTGCTGTGACATTTAGCTCTTCAGTATGACATTGGCTGGTACAATAATTTCTTGTGGGTGCACATGGGAAAAAGAAAAATTAAAATAAATTTTAGAAAGTAGATCCAAATCCATAAAATAAGGCAAAATTCAGACAACACATTTCTGAACTCAATTCCCGAACATCTTTAAAGTGATGAGCCATTCTCCTGTGATTCTAAATAGAAACACACACACACACACAGGGACAACTCCATGGCCACTGATAAACAAAGATAACTCACTGGGGGAGCCTGCAAAGTGGTGCTGCCCACGTGAGCAGCAACTCAACTGTAAATCAGCCAATATCAAGTGGCTGCTTTATGACTTGCTTTGGACTCACGTTTGAAAACACTGTCTTTGAATTCACAGTATATATATGTCACGCATACATTTCCAGTCGTACCATGGTACCAACTATGGTACTAGGTTAGGCCTGGCACTCACTCCTGTTTTGGCTGCTATTAAGGATGATTCTCTAATTCTCTGAAATGTCTCTCACCCAGTGCCTTTATTCTAAAGCAAATCATCCCAAATTACCCTTTAAATCTGAAAATTACTCAGCCATTCTCAAGGGATGTGATATGCCAGTCAGATGCAATACTGATTAAACCCCAATACCCCAGTGGATAAGGCTTCTCTCCTCAATCCTGCCACCATAGCCAAGATTTCTAGTTTTCAGTAAGACTGCATGTCAGACCAAACACCTGAAAGATGCTCTAAAGAAAGCAAAGGAGACCGCTGTTACACAGAAAAAAAAAAAAAAAAAAAAGAACCAGAAAGAAAAACAAAGCAAGTCAATGCTATATATGGCATATAAACAATGTCACAAACCATGTAACAGAAATTCTTTTACCATTAATCCCCATAACAACTCTTCCACTATAAATTACTATCTACAGCCCTTTTACAGGAGAGGTAACTGACTTGCCTACCGCACTGTGATCTGCTTATTTTACAAAAACAGAACTCTATGGGCTTCGACTTAGAAACTTTTAGAGGATGCAATTTAAGTAGCAATATATTCTTGGAGACAAAGATTTGAGGGTGGATCTGAAATGACTCTAGCTTGTAATTTTGGTAAAATCTGCTTAATTTTTTTTTTTTTTTTTACTTTCTAAAAAGCCGAAATATCATGTTAAGATGCTATACGAAAACGTATACATAAAAACCACATTCAGAGGTTTGGGTAATAATGTCACCATTTTCTGGAAGATCAAGGCCACTGCTTATAACCAAACCCAACCTGAGTCATTTAACGGGTACCTGGTCTCCTGTCTCTGATATTCCACAATTCCAATTCCACTTTCACTATACGAAGCGGTCTTATTTCCCATACTTTCGCCTTCGACTAGAATCATCACAGAAACCTGAGTTCGGTCTGATGTGAATTTAATTCTAACTTGCATAATAATCTTATAAACCACCGCCCGGCAGGCATCCTGTGAAATGATTTACACCACAACCAGTCTCCGTGACTTGGAACTACTTCACTTTTGACGAAGCACGTTACCATCAACATCCGTGTCCATGTCCTGTTCATGAAGTGTGCTCTCTTTTTCTCAAAAAAAAAAAAAAAAAAAAAAAAAGGTAGAAAGTACGAGACTGAATCAGAGGCCTGACCTCCGGTTTAAGTTCCGCCATCTGATTCTCCGGACCAATTCGGCAGGATTTGGTACGTGTGCACAGGTTTCGATGCGATGCAAGTATGTGTTCGGTCAAGGCCTGGAAAGACCCTGCGCGGAGAGACTTACAGTTGACCGGGAACACTTCGAGGCTCATTTTAGGTCGGATGCCGCTGTGACAGTACTTCCTGCGGGGCTGCCCGTCCCGGAGCCCGGAGCCCGGAGCCCGGAGCCCGGAGCCCGAGCGGGACACGCCCGGCCCGGCCCGGCCCGGCCACACCACCAAGCGCCGCACAGTCAGGGCGGGACGTCGGGCCCGCGGCCCGTCCCAGCGACCGCAGCCGTCCACACGAGCCTGCTTCCCCCCCGCCCTGGAGCCTCCTCGCCGTCTCACTCTGGCCAGGCCGGGACGGCGAGCCCCTCTCCCCGCAACAGGCTCGGGAAGACGCTGCGACGTCCCTTCCCAGCAAAGAGGGCGGGGGGGGGGGCAGCCTCACCGACGCTCCCGTGAGCCCAGCCGGGGGGGGCTTCGCTGGCTCGCCCGTGAGGCTGCGAGGCCGCCCACACTTGCCCCCTCGCTCCCCGCACCCGGCCTCCCGGACCCGTCAGGTCGGAGGCTCGGAGCGGCCGGGAAGCGGCCTCCCCATCAGCCGTACTCACCCGTCGGGAGCCGGCCGCCCGGCAGCCATCTTAAGACCCAGCCAACACCGCGCCTTCCCATTGGCTCCGGCTTCTCAGCCAATGGGCTGCGGCCGTTCTGGCCTCGGGTCGTCATGGCAACCGGCCGCGCTCCGCTCCGCTTTCGGGTGCGTCCGCAGCGGCGGATTCGTTTCTTTCTGCTTCTTTTCCTTCACCGTTTCCTCTCTTTTCTTCTGGACCTTTTTAAAGGCTTTGGTTTCCCCCCACCCACCCCACCCCCCATTCCCTGCTGCTCGCTGCTGTTGAGGATGAGGAAAGTGCTGGTTTAGCCCTTGACCTGAGTTCATGTCCCCCAAGGAGGGGAAGTCCGATGTAGATGCTCTCTATGCTCTTCTGGGAACATTTCCATTCATTCATCCTTTTCCCTCCTCCCTCCCTTCCTTTTTCTTCCTCCTGTACCTAGTTATTGAGCAGGCACCCTGCCAGAAACAGCCCGGACTCCTGCTCTCCTGGTGCTAACCATCTGCTGCACTGACCAGATGTGGGGCCTTGTCTAAAAAGCTCATTGAACCCCTTTTCTGTGACTGCCACTGGTTCAGGCCCCCGGGCAGGACTTGGGGGAGCATAGAAAATAAGTAAGGAAAAAGAAACTAGAAAAAAAAAAGTGCTATGAAGACTATAAAGCAGGATAATGTGATAGTGATGAGAGAGCAGGCTATTTTAGAAATGCTTCTATTTTCCAAAATTGTGCTCTGTAATAGTGATAAGACTAAAAATACTTTCCTATTTTTTTAAGTATACTATTTTCCAGTTCGTGAGGATGATAAAATACACATAAAGTCCTTAACATAATGCCTAGACCACAGTGATTTTGTCTTAGCTATACTCTAAAAATGTGAAAGAGTTTTGCATTGCACTCTAATATATCATGATTTAGTGTAAACAGATGTTTAAGCTTACTAGGTAACTATCCATTACCTCACCCTCAGTGTGTCCCAGAAGGATATGCCAGGTTTATGGAGTATTTTCTGTAAGCCCAGAATCATAATAAAACCTGAATCACTCAACCTTGGGTCACTCAAGTCCTTCATGCTGACCTTCTCAGATTCTAGAATAGAAACAGGTCTGAGGGCACCTGTGTGGCTCAGTGGTTGAGCATCAGCCTTTGGCTCAGGTGATCCTGAAGTCCTGGGATCGAGTCCCACATCAGGCTCCCTGCATGGAGCCTGTTTCTCCCTCTGCCTGTGTCTCTGCCTCTCTCTGTGTGTGTCTCTCATGGATAAATAAATCTTGAAAAAAAAAGAAAAAGAAAAAGCAGGTCTGAGCGATATCAGGATCTGTGTGAAACTCTCTTGGCCAATTGTGTCCAGCTTCTCAATAGGATTTTTCCCCAATCCAAATCTTTTTTTTTTAAGATTTTATTTATTCATGAGAGATACAGAGAGAGAGAGACAGAGATACAGGCAGAGAGAGAAACAGGCTCCATGCAGGCAGCCCAATGTGGGACTCGATCTTGGGACTCCAGGATCACGCTCTGGGCGGAAGGCAGACGCCCAACCACTGAGCCACCCAGGCGTCCCCCAATCCAAATCTTTAACAAGTTAGGCAGTTAAAGAAAGGATGTGTATAAAAGTGCCGCTATGGCTGTTGCATTTGGGTCTCTTAGTTACTGTCTTAGTCTGCTCATGCTATCATAACAAAATACCACGCACTGGGTGGCTTAAACAACAGAAATTAATTTCATACCACCCTAAAGGTTGAGAAGTCTAATATCAAGATGCTGGCAGGTAGGTTTCATCCCGGAGTGTTTTCTCTTGGCTTGTAGACAGCAGTCTTCTTGCGGTGTGCTCACGGGATCTCTTCCTTTTGTGTTTGTAGAGAAAGACCCTGTGTGCATGGGAGATAGCTATCTGGGGCTTCTTCTTATAAGGACACTAATCCTAGAGGATCAGGACCCCACCTTTATGACCTCACTTAACCTCCATTAATTCCCTAGAGACCCCATGTCCAAATGTGGCCACACTGGGGGTTGTTAGAGTTTCAACACAGCAGTCTGTGGGTACCTAAACATTTGGTTCATAACCAATACTGTTGGTGGAAGTATGACCAGAATAGAGAAAGAGAACACAGGTAAGACACAGGGTCGGTGGGAAGTGATGCTGACCTGCTTAAGAACTGTTTCTGCATATATTCCATCAGAGTACTCATTACTCAGTACATATAAATGTACGAAGGATACAGGAGAAATATAATTACAACTACTTCAAAGATGTAACAACACTAGATTTCATATTAAAGGTTTTGGAAAGTCCTACTCCCAAAATAAGTAAAGTTTAATATTTGAGTATTCTCAAATGTCTGATATTCTTATCATATTATTGGATTCCTATAATAAATGTAAATAGCTCAGACTTTTCTTCTGGGTCTGGTTGTAAGACTTCCAGTCTCTGAATATCATTGTTTTGCCAGTTTTCTGGGGGAAATGTCAGTCATTTGATTTATTTTAATCAATAAATTTACCTCTCTTCCAGCAAATTCCTGCCCTGGAAACCTGCCAAACCATGCATTTTGTGAATGAAATACTTGTATTTGTGAGATTTCTATGAAACATAGAATTATTGAATACCTTTTACTAAATCACAGTGAATGTGATGCAGCTAGTGAATTGGGTTTGAATTGTGTTGCATCTGCAACTAATTTCAAACATGTAAGTTTCATTTAAATTCTCAAACATATCTTAAAAATCATAAAGCAGTTTTTCTTTGCCAAGAAATATTACGGTTTATGAAGAGTTTTCCCCTATTTTTAGTGATTTTTTTTCTTAGTGTGGAGATTACAAGTCACACTCATGTTATAAAAGATTAATTGTGGAGGCTTTTTTTTGGTAGCTGTAAAATCTCTGATTGATGAAAATTTCCCCAAATATAATGAAGTCCCTTAAATATTTCTCAGTTTGGAAAACTGAATGTGACTTTGTTGAATATATAATAAACGTCCTTCTTGCTGAGACTGAGAAAGAGAATAGTTAATTTCCGTCTGTACAAAATGCTTAATGTTCTGCACTGAAAGAAAAGTAGTCTAGTGACGTATACAAAAGAATAGAAACAAGGGAGTTCTGAATTTTAGGAAATGTGTGACCATTTCTCCACCTGGATTTGCTTTCTAAATTTGCAAACTGAAGCATCTATAAATAGTGCTAGCATTCCAAGAATACATTGAACAACTAACACTATGACATCAGCAAGAATTGACATTCGAGGAAACAAAATTTCTATAATAAAGGATGTTGACAAAGAAATACACTCTTTATTTATTGGTCATGTCTGGTATTTTCAACTTCTTCAGTTCCAATAGGTTGTACATAAGAAGAATGGGAGGGCAGAAAAGGAAGGCTTTTAGAGCATCTCTGTATGCTAAGTATTTTGCAACTGATAACATACAATTTCACGAGATATGTACTGTTGTATCCATTTTACAGGCAAGGAAACTAAGGTCTTAGGGTTTAAGAAATTTGCCTAAGGTGACACGGCTAGTAACACGGAAGACTGGGGTGGGAAGTTTCACTGGACTCTGAAGATCATGCTCTTTTCATTAACACACACTGCCCCCTTTTAAGGTTCCTAATGAAACCCAACTTGGTATAGTCAACAAAATATAGACATCACTGCTACTGGGTGGGATGTGTACTTGGTGGGAGCTGATGAAAAGAGAGGCTTCAGCAGCAAAATGTGTCGTCTCTTTCCATCCCCTTTAGTACACAGTGAATGATCAAATTCCATTAGAGGCATCCCCTTCTATCATTCCTGGTTTGCTACATTGAAGTCTATATTAGTCTCCCTTTTTCCAATACCTTCATCTCCTAAAACAGCCCACTGCCTGATTAATATCTCTAAATGAAGGGACATGTGTGAAGCTTTTAACACAGAACCTGGCATGTAGTCAGTAGTCAATAAATATTAGTTTCCTTGCCTTACACATAAAAACTAAGGATTGTATGTGTGTGTGTCTGTGTGTGTGTTGGAGGTTAGGAAGACTGAACAGGCAGCAGAAGGATTTTTAGGGCAATGAAAATATGCTATATGATGCCAAAACAATAGATAAATGTCACTATACATTTGTCCAAACTCATGGAATATACACCACCAAGAGTGAACTGTAATGTAAGGTATGGACTTTGGGTGATGATGATACATCAACACAGGCTTATCATTGGCAACAAATGTACCACTCAGTGGGGGATATAAATCATGGGGGAGGCTATGCATATGTGTGGGGACAATGAATATGGGGAAGAATCTCTGTACCTTCCCTCAATTTTGCTGTGAACCTAAAACCGCTCTAAAAAATAAGTCTTTTAAAAATCAAAAGAACAATGGTTCATTACTGGTGAAAACTACATGAAGTCCAAACTTTAGTGTCCTAAATAAAGTTCTCTGACACGCACACACACACACTCACAAAAAAAATATATAAGGAGTACATAAATGTTGA